CCCTCCCACCCCCCCAAATCCCCCAGCTGGCAGAGTCAATCGAGGCCCAGCGCCGCAACCCCTCACACGCCTACGACAACCGCGTGCGGCAGATCAACTACGGTGGGTGGCAGGGGGACAGCGACTCGCGTCCCTAGCGGCGAGTCGAATGCCTGCGGCTAGTGCTGCAAACCTGCCAACCGCTACTATGATGAGGGCTCTTGGGGCCTGCTCCTTGGCATTGCTGCGTTGAGCTTGCCTCCTAATCTAGCTCAGCATGCACCTTGATTTTTCCGCATGAGCCTTGCTTTGTGCTCCTGTAGCGCCTCTCGTCCCAGGAATGCGACCAGTTGCAACAACGTCTACCTGCCCCTCCCGCACCTGAATGCGCGCTGCCCTCCCCTCCCTCCTGCCCCACACGCCCGTCCTGATCGCCCCTCGTTCTGCCGCCGTTCCCCCTGCCGCGAAACCCCCAGGCGGCTGTTACTACTTCGAGCCCCTCACCCTGGAGGACGTGGAGAAGGTGAGGGGGTGGGGGGCATCTCACCGTATGACCAGCTGCGTTCAGGAACCGTGCCTGAATAAGATCGCCCCTGCCTGAACAAGATCGCCCAGCCCCGATCACAAGTGAAAGTTGTGGTGCTGTCGGCCCTCCAATCCCTCGAACTCCCCTGATTCCGCCACAATTTTTCGACCTTGAGCCTCCTGGCGCCGCTGTGCGCCCGCCCCGGGCCCGCCCCGCCAGGTGGACCCCCACCAAGCAGTGGCCATGCACACGGGCATGTTCTCAAACCCGGCAGAGTTCACGGTGGTGCTCACAGGGAACCTCTCGTGCGCACAGGTAGGCCGTTTGTCCAGTTATGTGCGTTCGTGTGTTTTTGTGTTTGTGCGTGTGAGTGAGTTGAAGTGCGTGTCAGTGTGTGTGTGTGTGTGTGTGTGTGTGTGTTTGTGAGTGTGCATGCATGTGTGCTTCTGGGGGGAGGTCTTCATCATGCATGTTATGGTTTTGCGCACTTCATTGCCCCTGTTGCCGGGTGAGTGCGCGGGCCGCTCTCAACCCACGGTCGGGGCGTGAGTGCTGCGCACAGCTGATTCCAGGGCTCTGGCTGCTCGCGGCCAGCGGCGCCAAGGACGCCGCCGGCTGCCGGTCGCATAAGCACGGCAAGATCACCTACCCTGACAGCTGCTTGACCCCCTGCGTCGCGCCGCACCTCCTTGCCGCCAGGCCCTGCCCCTCATTGAGATGTACCTGGCCAGCATTCCAGCCAGGCAGCCCCCCGACGTGGCCGGCTCCGCAGCGGCGCTCAAAGGCATGCTGGGGGCGCCGCGGCCGCCGCCGCAGCCACAGCCGCAGCCGCCCGCGGACGGGGACGGCGGCGCCGCGGACGCGGGGTCGGAGGCGGGGCCCCTGCCGGAGGGCGCGCGAGGAGCGGCGGCAGCGGAGGCGGGCAGCAGCGGGCGTCGCAGCGAGGGAGAAGAGGAGGAGGATGAGGCGGACGCCGCCGCGGCGGGGGGCGCGGCGGCGGCGGCGGCGGAGGGGGCGGTGGCGGTGGCGGCGCACTGCGGCAAGGACGCACGGACAGTGACGCCGCTGCCTTTTGAATTCCCGGAGCGGCCCGTGAGGGAGGACGTGGCTGTGGATATGGTGAGATTGGGGTCTTGAGGTGGGATGAGATAATCAGATCACACAGATCAGGTCAACGTCAGAACAGACCAGATCACGGAGCAAGCTGCACCCCACGCCCGGTTTTCGCTGACTGCACTCCGATTATCAGCCAATCTGCACACACACGCCACCACACCCACATCTCCGGAGCCATCTGTCCACACCAGCGCACGCCGTGGCCCCGTGTCGACCACCAAGCAACGACCCTTTTCACCTGCCCTGCACCAACGCACCGCGACAGGTGTCGCCGCTGTCCCAGGCGCACATCACCTTCCCCTGCCTGCTGCAGCGCGCCACGGCAATGCAGGTGCGCAGCCGCTGACCTTTAGTAACCCCCATGCTTCGCGCGCAACGTGCTCGTGCAGCAGCATGCGGCCAGCCTGGACGACCCCTTTCTTGCGTGACTTCCTGTCGCCGTCGCCGTCCACTCCTCAACAATTGGAGACCGACCCCAAGACACAACACCTCTGCTGTTGCCGCACCCCCTCCCCAGCGCCCTTTCACACCACAAACATGCACATATCAAG